TTTTGTTTACGAGTCCAGCCGTAGCATAAAACGAATTGAGATTGAAATGAGAGGAAAAGGAACTTGGCGGGAGCGCCCAAAGCGCCGTCAAAGCGCCGTCTCTCTGTTCTGGACTCACAGACGCCGACACAGTCACGGGTACGCTGGTTGCATTTCTTTCCCAGGCATCACCACCTCTTCGCTTCCGTCAACACCTTGTTCGGAATCTATATACGAAATGTACTCCCTTGGTCCTCCTCCTTGTCATTTTCAACGTCGGGTCAAAGGCATTACCGGTGCGCTTCTTGTTATCATTTATGCTGAAAAGTCCTATAATATTGACCCTATACAGCTAGCTATACCCCCGACGCGACTTCGCAAAACCAGAACGTCACACAGTAAGTGTTTCTCATTATGCAACGCCGTGATACCCCGCGTCTCAGACCATGCTCTCAGCGCAAGTGATCACGACATTGATCTTACTGAGTGGGATGTCGTCAGCGACGAGGAGGACCTTGCGGTGTACGTTTTCACCTGGCAGTGGTCTATTGTCAACGCAGAACACTAACTCATGTATCCATAGCCAGTATCCTGTCACGCATCTCCAAGACACCAATCGATACGCGCCAGTCAAGCTTTCCATTCACTTATACTATCGTGGTAAATTTGTGGCCCTGGTAGCAGGGACGTGCACCGCCGATACCCTATCTACAAGCATCCTGGCATTCATTACCAGTGACCAAAAACTTGACTTTGATATGAATCTTGACGAGCTCGACTTGTGCATGTTCCATCGCTTCAGAGCTTCCCGTCAGCGTAGACATGGGCATGCTCGGAGCTCTACCTTTGGAGATATCTTTGCTGACGGTCAGACCGCGTAACAAGTGGTGAGTCTGGGATACGCCGCTAGCTTTGAACCTGATGTCATGAGCTTATCTTGCATTCAACAGCTTCCTCTCGGATTTTGCGAATTCTTAAGATGGACACGTCATCGACCTATTTTGTTACTGCTTTGCTTGTATATACTACAGACTGAATTGCTTTATTTTATTGTTGCTTTGTATATAGTACATTTGGATTACAATAATTTCCTATGGCGACCGACGTACTTCCAGCATGGCTGTGGCCATACAGTTGTCCCCGTGCTCTCAAACGTCTCGCGAATCGTCAAGCGGGGCGCGGCCTTGGGACAATCGTGTGTCACGCTGTCGATGAACTGAACAATGCTTGCTTTGCGCTCTGCGATGGGTTGCGTGATGTAGGCCATTATCTTTCGATGAGCGATAGGAGGCGCGCAAAGGGCAAAGGAAAAGGCATACCGAGACGCCTGCAAGTCATTGCGACGAGAACAATGAGAAAAGCGGTTCATTTCAGACTACGCATATGTGACCGGCTTGCCAGGAGACGAAAGCGCCAAAGGCCGAATCGAAGCTGCCGCCAATAACTGCAACAAGTCGGATCCATGCTCCGTATTCATGTCCACCGTCACTCCCACGTGCACCCGCGCCAACTTCCTAAGTCCCATCGCTTCCTTATGCGTGATCGGTCTCGCACATAATCCTCGCATTTGCCTCCTGGCCTGGAATGGAGCAATGCATCTTGACGGAGATGACCGAGGGATAAGACACTCGAAGGCGTAGCGGGGGGCTATGGTGAAGCAAGCGTCGCGGAAAGAGACTTTGGCGGTAAAGGTTATGCCGTGGACGGTCATAGGTTCGTGGTCGAGGTCGAGGATGTCCGCTATCGCCTGACTGTGTTATTAGTGCGAGAAAGTTCGTCAGTAAGATATCCGGGGTAGGGAGGGAACGAAAAGATGACGAGGAAATAATATAAGGAAGATATCTACTCGCATTCAACGCGTCCCTCGAGCTCCCCACCAGCCGCCCATCAGCTTTGACCAAGTTGTGATAAGATTGATCATCAATATGGGATTCGTCCAGGTGGCGGAGAAACGGAGCATAATGTTGGGCCATACTTCGATGGCGCCGAGGGAGATGCTCCAGGCTGGCATCGGCGTTGCCGGCACCATCGTCCTCGGTTTCAGCCTCTGCGCGTGAATCGTCGTGAGACAAAGTTGGCTGCTTATAGAGACAGTGTGTCGTTTAAAATCGACGGGGTCGCGCTGGTGGATGTGTCTGCTGAAATGGATCAGCGGAAGAGGTTGGTGGAGTAGATCCATATACCGTCTAATCGTCTTGTCACCAAGCTCAAAGAATGAATGAGAAACATACTGCAAAAACCCTCATCCGCATACGAAGGCTCTGTTGAGCTCTGGGATGTGACCGTCTTCAACCTGATGTGCTTTGTGACGAGCAAAGTGGCATTTTTTACTGTCACGAATTGCTCGAGCTATTCCTGATGCACTAACACCGACCCGACGGGGAGGACACCCCAAGATACTGCTGACGACATCTCTGAGCGTTGGCTCGCTCCCGTGCACGCCTGTACTGACGAAACACTGGTCGAGGAGTTGGCTAGAGATTTGATGATCACGATGACCGCGACGATGGGCCGCGAGGAAAAGGAGAGTAGAGTTCATTGGCGACAGGCAGATGCAGAAAGCGGATTCGCGTCGAAGTGGGCCAAGTACGCGGCATATGTGACTTAAAGAGCGACACCAGCGATGCTTGCGAGTAGGGCTAGATTTCAAGTTCAGAGTTAGATATCAGATATTTGAACCTGGATGTAAATATGAGAAATCGCACCTCTTCAAAGCGCAAGGCAGACTTGGGCCCTGTTGTGCGCCAGAAAAGTGAAATTGCATGACTGAGGCGAGTTCAGGAGAAGAGGAGAACTGTGAGAGGACGTCCGGCAGAGTATTAAATAGGAAAGTGAGAGTGAAAGAGAAATAGGAGAGTGGCAGGCTGAAGCAATGGACTTCAAGTTGGGTGGAAAATGGAGAGGTGATACCCCGGTCCGTGGTGGTCCGGGTAGCAAAGCCGCAGCACCGGACTCCCCTGTGGGCCCTGATCGAGAGCTCCGAGACTCACCGCCACCAATCCCAACTGCGGGGTCAATATATAACCGGTCAATTATCGGAGCCCCATCTGCTTACCGAATCGCAGATCTCCTGTACTTGCGGGCGCATGAAAGGCTCTCTAAGCTTGGATGACGCGTCAGCGGTTCCACTCTTAAACTTTTGGTTCATCATGTAACCCTAGACCCTTCGCCGTTGGCCAGACGCTTCCTTTCAAGTCACTTGTGCGATCGTGTTGACATTCAATATTCAATATTCAATGCTCCCCTGACTCATTAGTCTCCTCGTGCTCCCTTCCTGTATCATTGTTTCGGTTCTCAGTACTCAGTAACTAACCCATCTTCATCGCCGAAACACAGGGCGGTTCTCCAGGTAATCGTTTTTCAGAGGGAGAGCGTCGATGAAGACAGGCAGGACTTGGCCGAGTGGGATGGCCGCAGTGTTCCGGATGATCGTGCGTCCAATAGCCCCCGCTGCGTTATCCCGCGCATTGAGTTTGCCGGCAGGAGCATCAGGAGCGAGAACGAACAGAGGCTGAAGCGCTCCAAGAAGGTGCAGGTGTTGCTGCGAGAGATCGATGTCGGAGCTCTCGATAAGGAGGCCAGCGGCAAACGCAGCATTACTGAGAACTTCGGCCTCAGGTGTCGCTGAGAGCTCGAAAGAAAAGTTCCAGCAGAGGCTCAGTGTACGGCGTGATAGATCCCTTCATGCCTGAAATAGTCTCGGCAAGAGTGCCAATAGACGATGAACGGTCTGCGAGCGATCTGCTCTTTTTCTGCAATGGAAAGGCAAGTCAATATACAGGCTTATCGGCAAAATCCTGGAGATCACTCACGTAGTACTTGGCGATCAAGAGGAAGAACTTCTCGAATGCTTGAGCAATGTCCGTGCCAAGAGCATTCACCAAAGCGGCGACCAAGTAACCAGCAGAGGAAATCAGAACAGAGTCGTACTCCGCTTGGTCCTCGGGTGCCTCCTCTGCCCCATCTTGGTCAGGATATTGCTGGCAGAACGCCTTTTGCTCAAGTATCTGAATAGCGATATTGCAGACAGTGTCGAGATCTGGAATAGTTTCAGCAAGAGATCATGCATGGGCTGGGGAACGGAGACTCACGTCCTTCGACAAACGCAGGACTGAGTGTCTCAGCCAAACCGACACAAACAGCGGATGCAACAGACTTGAAAAACCGAGTCAGAACAAGGTTTCAGATATTTCAAAAGCAAATTCAGAAAATACTAAAAGTCGTCTCATTCGCATAGCGTCGAAGTGAGCTGAGGAAAATTCTCATCCCAAAAGAGAGTATATATATCGAAACAAACACGTACTTGTCATCTTCGCTCTCATACATGTCCAGCAAAGGCTGGATGGCATGGCTGATGACTGTCTTCACTTGTGTGTCTACCGGAACATGCTTCACAAGAAAATCAATCAGACGAAGCACAATAAGTATACAAGGGACTCACGACAACAGCGCCGGGTCGTCACTCTTGATGATTACTGAGATTGTAGAATGTCCGCACGATCTCAAGGAGAGAATCAGTGACGCTCTTGCGAATACCTTGATACTAGTGGTCCAGGAGGTCGATCAACTCGACGGTGCATTGCTCAACGTGTGGTAAGAAGTGGTTGCGAGTAGATGCAAAGAGGGTGCCAATAGTATCGGTAGCGATCTCTTTCTCGATAGCAATGGCGTTGTTGACATCAACCATCTGGCCAACATCCACATCCTCTAGTTCAATAGAGGCGTTGCCATGCGCATCAACCTCGTCCATGACGGCAATGGCATTGGCAGGGGAGGAGCCCGACGCACAAACAGCAGAGCCCTCGGAGCCGAAGACTAGAAAACGCACGTTAGCATAAGACCAGAAAGCAGTCCTGCCAGACTCACTGCTGAGATTCTCGTCACCTTGCTCGACCTGCTTGCAGCTGGCAATCGAAGGCGGCACAACGCTGGGAAGGTATGCCGCAAACTCCTCTCCAAACACACAGTCCATAACGCCAAAGAAGAGGAAGCTGCACTCGCGGAGGCGGGCACTGCCCATCTCAGCGCCCTTGGAACGCCTGCTTCATCATTTCAGGGAAGAATGGCCGGAACACATCCTTGCAAATGGCCTCGGCGAAGGTGCTGGTCGCATCCATCGTAATGCCGCGCAACTCAACCTCTTCGCCCTCACCAGTAATCACAAGGAAGTGCTGAGGCCGGGACATGATTGGTTCAAAGTAAAGGAGGAACCGCTCTTTGGACGCGTGAACGGCGCTGCCGATGGCACCAGTAATGACGGACTTGACAGGGATGGAGCGGTATCGAGGCCTGCAAGGTGCTCCATGACGAGAGGAAGATTTGCTCGATCACATCGTGAAGGATCTCCAACAGCGCATCCAAGGCCGTGCACGCAGATGGTTGAGCCTCGGGGTCATTGATGAGGTTCGTGATGGCCTGATTTGAAGTCAGGCCATATTAGAAGATCGAAACACACAAACTGAGAACTTACGGGAACCAAAACGGTATGCTCAGCAACGCACTCATCCTCTAACCATTCACAGAGGCAACTAACGGCGACACATGTAGCCCTGCGAACTCTTGCATTGCTATCACCAAACACAGCCTCGATGACTGGCCAAACTTCGGACATGAGAGGAGCCATATACTCGCTACAGCCCTCCACGGAAACATTCAACGCGAGCATAGCAGCACGACGATGCGTAGGATCGCAGAAGAGAAAGCTTTCTGAATGAGCATTCAGAGCGCAGGGAAGACTTGGGCGGTGGAAGCGATGTCGCAGGTCCATCGATGATACGGAGCGCAGACTGAGCGCAGACTTGTAAACTTGATCAGGAACTTGATACGATGTTCTAATATTTGAGGAGCGCATACCCGAGACCGCGCGTCATCATTGATGGCCTCTGGCTCCTCTTCTGAAGCGATGGGCATGAGACCCTCAAGAATGGCAGGGGCGAGGTTGTGGCTTTGAACTTTCGACTGTTTGCTGTGATAGAGGTCAGTCAACAGATCACGGCAACAGTAAAGGCAGATATGGGACGAGAAACACTTACTATTGCACAGTCCAGTTGAGGGCGTTGAGGGCAAGGACGCGGAGGTCGCCGTCGAAGGCGCGGTTGCCGCCGCATCGAAGAAGGAATTCTGCCAGCCAAGGGATGAACTTCGCGAGAATAGTAATTTTCTGAAATCCAAAAATTAGTCTTCAAGGTCATCCAAGACTGGTACGATGAACGCACAAGGATAAGCAGAGTCTCAAGATTCAAACAGCTGACGAGCCCGGCCTCATCCCCTGCTTCAACGGTCTGGCCAATGACTTGCATCAGTGGCTGGAATCAAAAATCAAAACCTTGTAAGGTTATGTATGAGATGTGACATACGAGTTCAGTCTTGTCGCTATCCTATCTCGAAGGTCGTATCCTCCACCCGTTGCGAAGGATCTTCACTCGTTCCGGATACATTTGGGGTGTTGTGTGGTTTGTTGCCCATAACAGTTCCTAGTGTTTCTTTCCAGTCCTTTCCCAGCTCCAGAGTTCTGTGAGCTTGTCACCGGTCACATCGCTGTAGCACTTCCCACCCCCACATCCGCTTAGAGCAGCCGCTCCTTACCCCGATTCGTCGCCAAAAACGCCAAAACTTGCAGAGAGTATAGTCAACACAGCGAGGCGAAGCCTTACGGGTCTTATCGACTGTCACTCGGTTTGGGTCTCTGAAACTGAGCCTGAACTGCTCGCCTCTGAACCACTTGCCCCTCAAGCCGGACTGCATTTTAGGCTCGATCCCCGACGCACGATGCAAACATCGACATTCAACCTTCCCGGTTCACATACATACCTGCGTACGTGCGCGACAGCCGACTCTCCCACCCCGCCCATTGGCTCGCACTTATCATGAGCACGTCTCGACGACGGCGTCGCTGTCCTCTCGCAGAGCATGCGCATACTTAATCGATCATTCGCACTCGCAATCGTGATCGTAATCGCAATCGTTGCGGCGCTGCGTAGTGCGCAGCAGAGAGCAAGCAATAGGTGCATACACACCTTACTGTGTGGGTTCGGCGTTTTATTTGCGGATGGATGATAAGCCCGCGCGAGGTGTTCTCGACCGAAATCGAAAACGACGCCGCTGGGTGACTCGGTGTATAGAAGGTGCACGAGCGAATGGAGCCCTGAACGTGGGGTAGAAGCAGAACACGACCCACAACCTGCGCGGTTTCGTTAAGCTGCCATGTCCAGGGACCAGCGCGCTGCGGCAACAATCAATCGAGGATTGAGGCGTGCCTAAGAGTCGGACGACTGTTCCGGGTGGCCATGTCAGCTGGTTACCCTGCATCCCGGATCTGTAGACTGAGCGCCCTCGGTTTTCACGAGCGTACAGGTGAGACTCGTCTGTCCTCAGCCGACCTGCGCTTGGTCGCATATACGGCGTTCCGGCGCGACAATTGCCCAATATCGTGGATTCCATCGTTTAGGTGTGCGTTCCTAGGGAGTCTCGCGCACTGCACCTGTCGGCTTATACATTCCTTCTAGCATCGCCGTGTATCTTCAGATGGTGTCAACAACACCTTACACCACGCAAGCCCTTCCTTCTGCCTCAAGAGAACATCGTCTGTGTTGCGAAAATCGTCGAAAATGCACCTCCAATGCGACTCTGGACACCTTCCCGAGGGTCGCACGTCTTTCCTGTCCTCCCCGCTTGCCCTTCAAGCATTTTCACGGCCATATCCCCGTTGTCCTGGGATTCGCGGCTGCTTGGGTGCCGGCGACCTCAGCGGTTTGGCAGTGGGTTGAGGTCCGAGGGACGGGGCAGGGCCTGAGACGGACGCCGACGTTGCGTCTACTGACGAACGGGTGTGGTAGAGCGCCTTGGGATGGAGCGATAACGACCGTTGCAATGGTAGTGAAGGAAGCGCCGCCACTACACGCAAGCAGGAATGCAGGACTGCTAATGCTTCGTCGGGCGGTCGACTTGTTGACTGTCCCACTGTGAAAACCCGAGGATGACGTACGCGGTCACTGGCCCATGCTTGCGCCGTCCGTCCACAATCCGACCTCGGACGACTGCAATCCCGTTCTTTGCGCCATCATGAACGCAAGCTCTTAGTCTGACTCGCTTTCCGTGCCGGCGTGTCGTCTCATAGCATATACTACATCCTACGATATCCTACTATACTAGACCATGATTGTCGTGACGCTGGACGAGTTCTGCTGAAATGATCAGACGTACGGACTTCCTTACCGGGACTTCATCGCTACCGAGAACATGTATTGGCTGAGAAGGCGGCTGCAAGCGGTGTATACACTACTACTATACTATCGCGCAGCGAAATTATCACTTTCAGTCCATTGGTGTAATCATCATTGTACGAGTACTAGTCATCTGTCGAAACACAAAACAGCGAGTGCGACGAAAGTGCGTCATCAGCAGTAGAAAGTATGAGCCAAGAGTCCATCGAAACCCTACTGAAAATGCCCATAGCCCACGCTCAGTCTGATACTTAGTCTCAAGCTGCACCGCCTCGAATGATCGAATCCAACCCCTGCTCCCTGAGTTCAGAGCTGATCTCGTGGCTTCTCGATCCCGCAGCACAACGGTACAAGAGATGCACTCGAGGTGATGATCACGACGTAGCGGCTGGTTAGGTGAGTTGAGTAACAATCCAGATACGCTAAGGCAAATGATAGACGTACCGGGCTGTGCCATTTCCGTGCGTAGGGGCGCAGCTCGCGATGTCCTCAGTAAACAAGCAAGCCTTGGATCTCGTGAACAAGCGCGTACACTGCACACTGCAAAACGTCGAGCGATGTGAATGTTCAGGAGATCGGGGTGTAGGCTTTCGATTGTACTGCAAGAAGATATCCATGTACACTAGGAGAACTGGCGCATAACGGATGAGAAAACCGTGGCTTTTGAGAAATGTGGATCAATCGTACCTGCAGCAAGAGACGTGTCCACGCTTGCGCACAGTCTCTCTCTAAATGCTTGAATCTGATGATGAATGACCAAGGTTGGCGCGGATGGTAAGCGACAACGGAACAACGAGAGTGAAATCAAACAACATACACAATGGAGGCGGAAATCACACACAGCGAAAGTACGAAAGAACGTCTTTGCCAGCGCGAATACGACAACGACCCCGTTGATCAATTTACGTCGAAGGATCGGAGCAACGACGAGGGTTTGCGCGGAAGATTGAACGAAGATGTATGGCGCAAATAGGCAGATATTCTAGGCGAAACGACGCATCAGCAAGAAAGTGCGTGCGTTTAGTACGATCAAATCGAGGGAACAAACGCTCGATTTGATTGGCTCACACGTACTCGGAACATGGGTTCGTCATCATGATCACACTAATCCAATATTGTTTGGAATCAACATTAACACAGCACTAGAGGGATAAACGCGAATGAGAAAAGCACAAGATATGGATGACATGAAAGGACGAACGTACTCATACGAATATCCTGTTAACGGACAGGATCGCAGTTTAAGGTCAAAACACCATGGCGCTTAGGCAGCAGATATCTTGGGATGTACCAGGAGTACAGTATATGCGCACTACGAATGTCGTGTTAGGTATGAAAAGCAGTAGATAATTCATAAACGAGATTCACCAGCGCGAATACGCTTCATGGTCGATGTTCAAACCTTCTCAAAACATCTTCGAGTTCCCTGACCCGGGTTGACGACATGCGCGTCAACAAATCTTCTCCTGGGGGTTTGGACACAGGAAAAGAACTGCGTAAAGACGGGTGAGTGAGATGGCAATTCACGGCGTTACAAATTGATCACGTACTAAGGTATGTATCGGCATGCGGCGAGGCAATGAAATAGTCGACGATAAATGGATAAATGATAAGAGCTCCAAAGGCATCGATTCAAATGGCAGCCATGAGGGTTACTAAAGGACAAAGATCATCAGCAAAAGGCAGGAGGGACTGCCTAAAGTGCGCGGAGAGAGATTGCACAGGCCAGGATAGGATGACGACCTGCAATGAAGCTTTGAGGTTCAAAAGACTGGAAGATGAGAAGACCATCGCTGAGAGTACGCAGTCCTTGGCTGGACCAAGTTGAATACAAGTGGCGGAGAGACTCCTCAAAGAGGGGTGCTCAAAGAAGCGTCACGCGATTGATCTAAGCGCCCAAACCTTTTCTCGTCGGCGTCCACCACGATGTCCTCTCTTTGTCTCTCCAACATAGATCAGAGATATGTTGTGCGCCTTAGGTTCTTACATAGTAAACCCACATCTTTCAAAACAAATTGAGACACGCACTAGAAGGATACCGCTGTACATGTCTATATACAATATGATATACAATATGGAGAGGAAACCGAGGCTAATGAAGGAACCATCGATATACAATAGTGGGCACCCCCCAAATTAGGAGGATATGGAGAGCAGGACAAACCGATTGAACACGAAAGCAAGGATAGACAACAATGCAGTCAAAGACACAACTCCGCTGACCCTACACACCTGCGGCATGCTCCAACTCTGAAAGGCAAGACTCAAGGAAATCCCACATGCTCTCCGGGGCCCTGGCCAACTCTTCCTTGCGATCCTTCAAGAAGCAATCGAGCTGCACTTCCTGCTCTGCAAAGACGTCGTCAATTGCCTCGCTAATTTTCTGCACCTCTTTGGAGAGAAAAAGCTTCAGAGCCTGTTTGTTTTGGAGGAGGCATGAGCGCAACTTTCGATGCAGCAATTCTTGTCGATGCTCTTGCTGAACAATCCGTTGTGTAAGCTTGGGGTACACGCGGTGAAATTGATGTTTGTTGATGTAAAAAACACTTGTTCCTGGAAACTCTGCACTTTGCGTGTTTCGCCCTAGCACATTGAATTAGCTGACATTCAAAAACTGGGTGGGCTATATACCATTTGGGAGCTTAGCCACGTTTGCTCTCGGTGTGATCGTCCCATCAGACTCTGTGTCTGAGTCGAAAGCCGAAGCATCGTCGTCTCTAACTTTACTGGGGGTGATAGCTCCATATACCGGCTGCTCATTGCCATCAAAATCAAGCTCAGGTAATTGGTGCATTGACTTTGGTGGCAATGTGAAGGGAAGGCGTGCTTGCGAGCTCAGGAGGCTTGAGCAGCTGCGTTACTGTCAACAGGATGAAAGCTATGCACAACATACCAAACGTACTGCTCCTCCTCCACTCGAATATGTCCCTGGCATTGACGGCAATGATTGTGCTCCATGGCTTTGGTTAAGCGTTTTTCAGCGCAAACGCTTGGGAAGGTGCGCGGTATTTACATCTGTTGACCGCAAAGCTGCACGCGCGTCTCCCCCACCCCGACGCTTAGCGCTTACCGGTACCCTTATAGCTCTCGTTCCATTCATTCGTCTTCATAGTCGGACCATACTAACACACCTTTGCGATTCCAGCCCAAACCCTATATCTGGAGAATGTTCAGAGATGTCCACCCCGATCACATTGAGCGCGTTAGTTATGCGCATCAGCATCTTACCTGTCATCAAAGCTCAGATCTAAAGCTCAGATCTGAGCATTCTTCTTCAACCCGGATTGATCTTGTCATTAGCGGAAGAAAGGCTGATCAGTGGTGGTGCGGGACTGGGATGGCAGGCGCATAGACGAAGCGGAACTCGTCATCGTGGTTCATCGCAGCCTAGAGAGCCTCTGTGTACGTTTCGTTTGCACCGTCCTCGCATCAACGTCGATTCTGACAATCCATCCACTTAGGCTCCGACAACGCCGAGCTGCAGTCTCGCTACCGCTATGCCTCGTGCTCAGGACACTCACCTCCCTGTTGCCTTACGAGCACGGGAACATCCAGTGCACTGGCTCACTGCCGCAAAAATCAGACGCATCTGGTTGAACAGGTTGATGAGCGCGAGGTACGCAGCGTCCTCTCCCTATGACTGCAAAAGGCTTACCCACGGACAGCTAAAGCAACGACACGTCTTGTGGGACGGTTCCTCCATTCTTGATATGCGCATCAAGGGTCCCTTCCCATCGACCTCTTCCTCTCCAAAGCAGTCGTTCCTCTCGTTCAACACGCTCTCGTATTCCACAAGTCTGGCGCCCGATAGCTGTAAACAAACAACCACCACCCAGGATCTCCTTTGTCGTCACAGAGCCCGAGCAAGGAGCTCCTCTCGCATCCGTAGCCTCTCAGCTACCTGCCAGCGCACTTTCTAGTTTGGACAATCCGACAATTCGAGGCAGTCGTTTGACCAGGCAAGCCTCTGCTTCGACTTCCACTGCTGAATCCACAGGTGAGTCACAACCGTTTGTACTCGGAACAACGCTAACGGCGCTTTCGGATCCATTTCTAGACGATAACCAATCTACCATTTCCATGTCGGATAGCTCAAACCGTCCTCACTCCGAGAACCACGACCGGCGGCGCATCAACCGACGACGAATTCTCTTCCCACCTCGGCTCGTGTCGCTAGCGTAAAGCTAGCCACTAACCAGTCAACTTCATCATGGTTCGGCTCTCTCTCGCGCGTAAAGGGCAAACAGAGGGCCACCGAACTGGATGACGCGCGGTTGAGGTCCGAGATATCACCTACAAGTGCTTTGCCGACACCACCTGCGCCCGTGCGTATTCCACCGATATACTCCGTGCATCCACTTCTAACTCTCTTGCCCGTTTAGCTGGCGCATCAAGATCCACCCCACAACTAACCTCCACCCTCGAGCCAGAACTATGGCTACCAGCCTTAGAAGTCCCACCATCAACTTCATCCACGGCCGTTTCATCTGGTACTGCAGTCTCCGGTCCGATTTCCCCTCTGCCCCATGAAATGAGTCGGCCTGCACTCCTACATGAATTTCATGATCAAGGCTCTCACACGTCCAAAACCCCATCCCAACACCGCAAGCGCACAGTTGAGGCGGCTTTCAGCGCTAGATGTGACCCTCCCCAGGTATCCGCATCGGAATCTCCTGCGCGTACCATAACGTCCGCCGCTGACATCAGTGTTGCTATGATCCATGTTGGCGGAACCGACGACTCGCTTCCTATACCCCCCTCGTGTCACAGTTCGTCCCACCTATACCCGTAGACGATCCACAGGTCGGCGTACCCGCTGAGGCACTCCTGACTTAGGCTCTAGCGCCCGTCCTGCATTCGCCACACCAGCTGATTACCACTCCCTCTTCTCCGCATGTTCTCCCCGACGATCTTCAGCCTGTTGAGCTCCAGCTATGCGAGCCCCTTGAACGCACAAGTGCTCCTCGGTCGCGTGTCAACGATGTAGATGGCCGCTCGCCCGCTCGCTGAAAACCTCTATCGCATCGATCGACCAAGACATTCCCGATCCCTGTGCGGTTGGGTCCGGAACCGGATATATTCAATCTCCATGTTTTGGCGAACCAGAAGAACTTTCGGACAGGGTATACGATGTACGGGCAGCATTGGTACGACAGTGCGCTGAGGAGTCTGGGACGAACGGGGCTGTCCGTGATGGTGACGAGTTTTACTGCGAGTTCGACGAGAACATGAAAGTGTTCTTCTTTGGTGAGGATCGCACGTGGGAGCATGCACGGCGGAACTCGTGGGACATGTTCGTCCACCCGGAGCTTGAGGCTGCGAGTGCCGCGTCGACGGCGCGCTCGAACCGCGGTTTGAGTCTGCAGGATTGTTTGGCGGAGTTACGAAGGAGGAGAGGCTCAGCGCAAACGATCTGTGCCTTCGATGCAAGAAACACCCACAGGCGACGAAGCAGTTCGATCTCTGGAGCGCACCCGACGTGCTCGTCGTGCACCTCAAGCGGTTTGGCAGCAGCCGTGCATTGCCCGACAAGATCGACGTGTTCATCTATTTCCCCGTTACTGGTCTCGACCTAGGCGATGTCGTAGGAGAGAGGAGAGTGGCGAGGGACTTGAAGGCGAAGGGGGTTGATGTGGAGGCTTGAAGGAGTTGGGGTTGAAGGACGTTGAGGAGCCGCTGGTGTATGATTTGTGTGGTGTGGATGAGCATATGGGTGGGCTGGGTGTTGGCATGATATGTGTCGAACCATATGAATTCGATGTGGTGTCATTTTGATGATTCGTATGTGACGCCTACGAAGGCTGAGGATGCTGTGGTGCGTTTGTTCTTACTTTCTGTACGAATTGTGATTTAATCGTGACACTGTTCTTTTCCTCTTTTTAGAATGCCAACGCGTACCTCCTTTTCTACCACCAGCAATCGTCTGCACCGCTTGGCGGCAAGACTTAACTTACGAAAAGATCAAGGAGGCGCGCGCTGCTGTGCAGAATGAATCTTCTGCAGAAATCACGGCGATGGACGCGCCTTCTAATACGGATGTGAACGCCGATGCCAATGCAATGCCGGCGACCCTATAATTGAAGACCAAGATATGGCCATCGATGCCCAACTGCCAACTCCGCCATACGAATCCGAAGACGAGCCAACATTCTCCATACACGGCAGCTCCAGCCCTCGTGCTGAGTGTTCGCGGTGGTTCTCCTCAGGCGTTGTCAGCGGCGGCAGCGTGCCCACCCCACCAAAGGAGGACGACCTCTTAAACTTTTCCCCTATGAACGACATGAGCCCGTTCGGTGATACCGACGGCGATGACGCGCTGCAACAGTCGTTTCAGCGTTTCGACTTCCCAGAGCCTTCGGATCGCGCGTCGACGACTTCGTCGAATGAGGCGGAGCCGGATTTGGAGTTGGACGGGGCAGATTTGGATGTGAATGTGGATGTGGCTGATGGCGATGTGTGGATGAGTCCGACACAGTGGTTGAATCTGCTGGGTGTGGGTACGCCGCCGGGGTCGTCTGCTGCTACTTCGGATGCTATCGTTCTCTCCATACACTTTGACCCATTATTACTACGGATCGGATGAAACTACAGGAGCGGCCTTTTGATAGTTTTTCGTAAGCTTGTGTCCTTTCGTCGTCGCTGTATGATTCATCAAACCTGAACTTAATTCACTCTTACTATGAGCATCGTACCTCCAAGATCATGCCGGTCTCTCTGGTTCTCTAGTCGTGCACGTGTACAGACCCATACGTGCTGTCATCACCGCCTAATACATCATCTCTCTGACTCTGCCATCGCCAGTAGTACGATCCATTGAGCGTCGGTTGCTTTTTGAAGCCTTTGAAGGATTAATACAAATTCGGGCTAGTACATCATCCGGTATATTGTTTAGGGCGTGCTGACCCAAACGGTCGCTTCGCAGGAAGATCACAGCGCGGAAGTAGGACTGGAAAGGCTTGGGCCATTTGCTCACTTGGCCGGGACATTTCCTGATGTATGCAAGCTCATCGGTTCAGAACGCTCCCCTCGCCAGTTGCGATGATTCTGCACTTCATGCATCGCCACCAGCACGGCCGCCGCATCCTTGAATCCGTCAACTCGTCCTGACAGAGTTTACCTAGGAATTTTTGTTCTCCAAGTAATCACTAGTCCGTATGTATGGAAGGGTATACACCCGGGGAGGGGGTCGCTGCGACCACGATAGATACAGACGGGTTTTTATACATAAAATCTTCACTTTCACAGCCCGAACTATTCAACTATCTTCTATCTTTGACCCAGAGGGTGCATTCAGTAATATATTAAATTTGTGTATGGTCTGGCGAAAATGGTAGCAGTGTTCCTATCTCGTTATTATGCATGAACTCCGGATAAGCCTTGTCTATGCGGTCGGTGAAAACAATTGTGAACCCTGCAGTACCGGATTCAGGCTCAATCGCAGTAGTGCTCGCATGATAAGACCGCGGCCGTGTAGCCTGTAGGGTACCACGTGCGGGCAGCACAACAACTCGAAGGCTGAGGTCGACGTAAGCATTACCACCTTTTTCGTTGCCCCAAGAGCCAGTGCACCATGAGATGCCCCAGCCGGTAGCCGAGCCATCTCTGTGCCCGGGCCTATGAAAGTGAGCATTAGCTGGCGACAGGGTTAATGAAGATCACTTACGAAGCGTATCGGTATGTGGCCAGGCCTTCCGGTGGGGCGCGGCGAGCAGTGCTGAAGTCGTATATCAGATCATCGACCTCGATGGCGAATCCACACCCTAATGACGGACAATCGATGAGTAGCTAATCTTGATGATTCCTAAGACAGACAGCACCTACCTGACGCGACATGGAGGGTGCCCATGGACGGAAGCGCAGCCTTGTCGAGATAGTCCTGGAGTGGGTCAATAACCTCAGCAGGAGGGTATGTGCGGGCAAGAGCCCAGAAAAGACTTGTTGCTCCAATAGCATCAGTATCAAGGGCCTTCAACGCAAGCTCAGAAAGCTTTCGCCGGAAGCTCTTGGCCCATCCAAGGATATGGCGGTGGCGTGGACCCATATTCAGGCCCCACTGCACCATTTCGCCCTGATGATATGGCTGAAGGGCGGGCGTTAATATATCTCATGGAATTTGTAGGAGCTTCACCTACACGGCAGTCACGGCGAACATGACACGCTGCCTCGACAACACTCATCAGCCAGTCGTAGAGGGGTTTAGCAAAGGGCGCGTCAAGGGCAACACCACGAATCACTACAAGTCGAGTGTGATCGCTAGAATTCTAGTCAGCCAGCCGGCGGGAACATGATGTAACGGTACAGCACACCTCCGGCTGAATCAATTGAGATAAACACAATACTCTGTTCAGGCTTCACAAAGTAAAAGCCAGATTCTGGAGTTACTGTTAGAATCTGCTGGTTGGGTGGCTTTATATTTCTGCGCGGAGTGCCTGGCTCAACAACAGCTATACCATGGAACTGCCTGTAATCATCTGACTGGCGATCGCAAAGCAGGAGTTCAAAACCCAGCTCTGCGACGCTGGTCCGAATGGCTTCCTCGATGTTGTCGCCATGCTTCCTGATATGAGCACTGATGGATGGTGGAGAGCGGTGGCCGAGAAGGGACTTAATCTATTACAGGGCTGGGTTACTGTACCACACGGTGACGACAAAGCCTGCTCACAAGTCCACGTTTTTGGGTGTGGTTAGCATAGCCGGCATTCTTGCGGTCCTGCTTCAAGGCGGACTGGAGGCGCTTGATAACTGGACGGAGTGACGAACCAGTCTGTGATTCGCTGCTATCATGGCTGATCGCAGCAGCGAGAAAACAGTCCCACTACCATCAAAGCTTAGAGCCTGCATGTTAAGGTATGCAGGTACTGGACATACGCTGGCGTTGTGTTGCGGTGCTGAAGAACGTGAGCAGTCCCTTGAGACAGGATGTCGGCAGCAGTGAGGTGTTCTAGAGCAGCTAAAGTCGCAGGTGCTAGTAAATAACTGCGGACTAGGATTTGTTAAAAAGCTGATCAAGAACAAGCCTGGACGACATACACTGTTCATTCTTTTGTTTCGTGGCAGCACTCTTACGGTGGGGCATGGTGTGGGTCTGGTCTGGGGACAGAGTGGCGCCGCTTCACGGAAATGCCAGGATGCGTGTATATGTGTGGCCTATGCGTGCTAAAACTCTATATACTGTAAGGAAGCTCCTCCTAAAGCGAAAGATGGTCAAATGGCGGAAGGGTTCCGGTCCCTGTGCTGTGCTAAACGCGGGGTGGGCTGTGGTCTCCATAATCAGAGGGCGTTGGTTCGATTCCCAGTAAGTGCAGATGTGTCCACTGCATACCCGTAACCCACGCCACTCCGGATTTTGCTCGAAAGTGCTAGCTTTTTGGTTTTCGCAACTGTTTTGCTCAGGGGACATGTGTCTGACTCTCCTAACTCTGCATCTCTGTCTACTCTGCATGAGATTCACAGTTTTATTTGAGTGTATATATGGAATGCATATCTGGGTCTCGTAGGATAAGACCAGTCCCGGTAAGTGAACATGGTTACGATTTACAGGTAGAACATATCAACAGATGACTACTCACCTGCGGGCTGGCCAGGTCCTGATCGGTGTGGCGTCAGTTGCTTCAGGAGGGCGACCTACACAACTGGCGCCGGCAGCGTCAGTGATGCGCTTAGGCAACGAGAACAGGCGGGTTGATACAGGACGAAGAATAGACTTGATCGGCATAATCAGAGGCATGGATGCTGATAGGAAGACGGAACATTGTTTTAGTTCGACAGAATCAGGGAAAGTGAACACGAGATTGATGATTTACAGTTATAGCGGGCAAGATGGCTTCCATGGTTTCGTCTGTAGGATTGACAGGTCAGGCAGGCGTCTGGAAAGAGAGATGCTCGCAGTCCAAGCATATGTGCGCCTTGATGGGAGTCGCAAGTTCTGAAAGCAGAATGAAGGTGTGTGTTTGAGCCCGAAGGGAAGTAGCACAATGAACGCACAGTAATCCGAGAAATCAACCAGCAGTGGTGCCTTGGAATTGAGTTATAGCGTGTACGTGGCTAGCATTATGTACAACAGGTCGACTCGGGAACCCTCATGATTGAGCGCCGAGGCTGACTGTACATAGAGATTGTTCACTACAAGTACCAGGTGTAATGAAAGGGTGACGTACTGAAGATGTGGCAGAAGGGGACATCTGAAACAGCTTGATCTTGCCCTCTCTAAGTAGCCGCAGCTTCCTTCGCATCCTTCTTTTCTAGCGATTCGGCCTCGCGGAGACGTGGCCGGAAATAACCGCTGGCTTGCGAGGGTAAAATCGGGCCGTGTTCGTCACCGTTCGAAGGTCAGATGCCTTGAAGAAACGATACGGCGGCGTGGATAAATCGCAGCCAGTCGCACCGTCGACCGACATCAGCGCCTGCAGAATCGAGCTAGCAATCGGATGGGCGGATATAGTAATAACGAACTGGCGACGTTGATCTCCATCGTGATGTCCATGAGCCAAAGCACGCTGCTAGCTGCTTATCCTAGAAGACGAGCTGCCTTGCCTAGCAGCGAAGCTTGCACCGCAGGATTGCATAAACTGAAATAGACAGGCATGCGTCAGAAGTAACATCCAGACGTTTTTGAGAGGTGAACGTACAGGGAGGTCTGCTCCATCATGAAAAGAGGATCCGGCTTACCTAAGAAGTGCCTGTCGATGTTCGTCATCTCCAAGATCTTGTCCATGGAGTACCCGCAGTGGAAAGCAGTAGATATTGCGCCGATGCGCTTGTTTGACGGGCTGCACAGCTCCTCGTTGACGTTCTCGACAAAGGCATTCTGCAGTGTGAGTCTGCAGTGAGTGTGACAGCCTGGAAGGCTGCTCTACAGAGACGATAAGATGAGAAAACGAAAGAAACTGATAGAAGACTCACGGATATACACCACGGTGTGCTCCATCTTGCCATCCAGTCCACCAGCCATATGAACACCAGCCATCGCAGTGATATAGCCGCCTGCATCCATGGAAAGCTCCGTTTTGGCCGAGGCGTGCCCGCAGCGGACTTCGAGCCACGGAATCGTCCGTCCCAGGGAAGCTCGGTTTGATTGACCGGCTTTCTCAAGGGTTTTTGCCGTTAAGTTCGAAGAGAACTGAGATCAAAAAGAGCAAAATTAGACCCGGACACCAAACGGCATACCCTATCTCGCCATCCGGAGCCAAGAAAGCGCATTTCTACGAGTTGGCCGCTGTGCCGATCGCTTCGAACTTGACGTCTCGATTACTGAAAGGGTACATCTAGGTTAGCCACCATCTCGATGCTGATGAGAGAGGAAGCTCACCTCGTCAGCTAGTTCGGGCGTGATGCGCTTGCCGAGAACGCTGGGAGGCTGCTGGCGTTTATCAAGTCGACGCGCAGTGAGCGAAGTCGAACCCGAGGATGGAACAACGGTTCTACTTCGTGTATTTGGGGAGACATTGGAGTCTGTACTTGCATCCGTAAGCGCAGCCGCCGATGGGGACGGGTGGCTCGAGTTCCCCTGCGTTGCTCGTGTGCTTGCATCGCGCAGTGTGTACCTAGCTCCATGTAATCGAGTCGATCGCTCGAACTCGATCGTTAAACACCACAGAGCTTTGATGTGGAGTGTTGGCCTCGAAGACTTTGTACAGAATGTCGTTTACCATATCGGCTGGTAACGCCAAGGTATGTTCTACATTCGTTCGTTTTCTGAAGGCGTTGTGGCTGACTACATTTTCAGCGTCTTTCCGGTCGTACTCCTGAGAAATGGTTCAGCAGGTTGACGTTGTCTGCCCTTCAGAGCCACCGGAGGGGATTCACTGGGTTTCTCACCCCCGTCCTAGGCTTCACACCACCGTCTGCGCAGTCTCACCTGCATTCATCACTGCAGAGACAAGGCCATCAGTACTGTAGTTGATGCGAATGTGCCGGAGAGGATGAAGAAGCTGAAACCGGTTGTTGAGGATCTTGTGCAGGAGATTACGGTGGTGGCGAGTCTGGAGTTGGAGGAAGGCAATAGGAAGAGGATGGCGTGATGGGTCGCCATGAGGGATGGTAGCTAATTGCTTTGCACGTGGACAGTGATATACGGAAAGTCGTAAATAGTTGTATAAGACTTTTGTGTATTTCCAAGGTTCTGCTCGGTGCAAGGAACGCTGTCTTAAGCGCGCATGCCTTTGCCTTGAACACGACCGGGACAACACCGGAGTACTCCGCGCATGCATATGTCTAACCCAGCCAATGCTCGTTATTTCTACGGCCTGTCTAATATTGATCTGGGACTCTTCCGGATCCCTGTTGAACCTTCAATGTTGTCAGAAAGCCTGAAAGGAGGCGTTCAAACTAGCCCCTATCAAGCTTAAAGCTCCGATGGGGTTGTTTACACCTGCATTTTCCTACCCTTGTCGGCGCGCACCTTCTCCAGTCCACCTACTGCTCCAGGCATATGCGACCTGCTCTTAGTGATTCGAAACGATTTGAAGACCAACACGGCAGATAGATGTAGTGCGGGTAGTCCACTCGTAAGTTTGCCACTTTCTGCGAAAATCGCGCGATGAGTGATGTTTTGTACATGGCCATTTTCAGGATATGACCGTCGTTCATGATCAACATGGATCAAACGCAGTGCTGCTCTTCTTGATGTAGCGGGCACGGTTCACCGACCGCGTGTCACGACTCCCACTCGCCTTCTCCATCGACTCCGTCGATACCATCGATCGATGTCAGCACACAGAGCAGTTGTTCGTCCGGTTTGCCTGCCTCTTGCTCGATCCACGGACGATCGTCGCATTCGGCCGCTCTCGGGCTCTGCACGGTTCACCGCAGACTCCCTGCGGCATCGACTCTACAGACAAACGTCGCGATCATTCACACTTGAGCACCTAACCTACTGGAAACCTGTACGGCCCACCGAAGGTTTTCAGTAGGGTTCCCTGCCGACGCTTGCAATGCAAACCTGGACGGTTGACCGCTGGGTTTCTCCACCGACGATTGTCGCAATCATCACATTCCACTCCTGCAACTCTGCACAGTTAACCGCGGGATCTCTGTGGTGTCGGCTCCACCATTACATTCTACGCGAGCGGCCACCTGCACGGTTTCACCGAAGGTTTCTTGCAGTGATCACTTTCGCGATGATATTCGCAATCACCACGACTCTGCATAATAACTGCGAGTTCTCCTCGGCGTTTATTCTGCAGACGGTCGTCGCGGTCCTCACCTCTGTACCTTGCCTGCTGAAACCTGCACGGTTCACCGAAGGTTCTCAGCAGCGTTTTCTGCCGACGATCTTCTAATCATCGCATTCGTACCTTACCTGCTGGAAACCTGTACGGTTCACCGAAGGTTCTCAGCAGCGTTTCCTGCCGACGATCTTTGTAATGCCGCCCTCAAGTCCTCCACGGTTCACAGTCCCACCCACTCTACAGCGGATCACCACAATTACGACATTCCATACTTACCCCACGAATTGCTGCAAAATCTACGCAGTAGTCAGCTCCAGGCCACCGACATCTTCACCTTCTACCTTGCCTGCTGGAAACCTGTACGGTTCACCGAAGGTTGTCAGCAGCGTTCCTTGTCAATGATCCTCCTAATCATCGCATTCGTACCTTACCTGCTGGAAACCTGTACGGTTCACCGAAGGTTGTCAGCAGCGTTCCTCGTCCACGATCTTCCCAATCATCGCATTCGGCCCCTATCATAACCTCCACGGTTGGCCGCACGTTCTCTGTAGTTTTCACTTCATGGACGGACGATGATCGCAATTGTCGCCTTCTATTATAGCCACTCTTTAGGCCCCCGTGGTTCCCCCAATCAATCCTTTAACTTGAGGATTACATTGGTTCATCATAAAAATTTCGACTCAACTGCGAATTCGTTTTATGAACGAAAAACCCATTGAAATCGGCGCGCTTCAAAAATACCATACAAGAGGCGGCCGCCTGGAAGACTTTCCGCAAAGAAATCAAGGCACACATGCTGCGGAGCAGAGGACATAGTATCAAAAAGGTCTCCAGTAAGTCCTTTTGCGCTAGACGCTGCCCTAATTACTTACTGTGCTGCTTGAAGACGTAGCTCGCCAGACTTTTATCACTGCCTAATCTACCGCCTTAAGCAATCATCCTCCCCCTGACGCGTATTTCATATGCTATCCAATACCTTTATTTAGTCGCATTCGCTGCCCTCGTACTCCTCTACTCCGCCGCTTTCTCCGCCGCATCGTTGTGCTGCCTACCCGCCCTCAACCCATAATCTTCGCCGCCCTCGTTCTCCTTTATGGATGTCTCCGACGCATAACTCATATGCCATCCACTACCTTTATTTGGTCGCATTCGCTGCCTTCGTACTTCTCACTCCGCCGCTCTTTCATGTATCGTTTCACGCTGCGTACCCGCCTTCAACTTCATGGATGCCTCTGACGTGTACCTCATACGCTATCCACTACCTTCATTTGGTCGCATTCGCTGCCCCCGTACTCATCTCCTTTAGCCAACCTCACGACGCAATTAATAAACCCTCCCTTACCTCTACTTGGTCGCATTTGCGCTGGTATTTTTTTGGCACATATACGTTACGACCGCTTGTCCGCTCGTTCAAGTTGTTTCTCAATAAATCCCCGCTGGCATAAGTATACAGTAGGCAGGTTTCGTAGTGCGGTACGTACAGGACAGTATTGACTTTTGGTTACGCGGACGAGTGGAATGTGTAGGATAAAGCATTGATGGAGTAAGATAGAAGAGGAAGAGGGGCTCTAGGAAGTATGCACATGAACAGAGCGTGCGGTGTACAGAATAGAACAGGAGATGGAGTCGTTCAGGTGAAAACGAGTACGTGCGGGGCCGCGCGCGGTTCTCGACGTCTTACCACAGACATGAACTGACAGCGTTGCGAAAAATAGGCCGCAGGACTAGTGCCGGCATGCGCTGCCCACCTGATGATTTGGATCCGTAAGCCTCGAACGCAAAAAGAGGCGCCGATAAAAATGTACCTTTACATTCAAGCCGCTTACATGTAACTTCGTAAGTGGAGGCCGGAGTCGATTTTATAGACTTTCATGCATCCTGCGTAGGTCCGACACCCAAAGAACCAGGTCCCAAGGCCGGTGTGGAGCAGTGAGGGCTTTCCAGCGGGCTTGGACGCCAGTGGGAGGCGAGTGATAGTGCGTCTATCATTCCTTCCCGTGCCCGCATTCCGTTTCTACTGTGAGTCATCGTTCTGCTTCCTCGAGCGGTGTCCATCCGTTATCGGCCCTAGTGCGTTCCGCCTCCTCGAGCCGCTGCGGCCTCTCTGCGCCTGTCCTCTCCTGTGCCGCCTTCCTGCACACGTTTGGCGTCCCGCTTCCTCAGCTCCCCGGCACCCCTCCTCGCGCCTCCAGTCCTCCTCCTGGAGGCGTCTCCACCCATCAGGCACCGGCTCACGCTCCTCCCTTCTCCACAGCCTCTCCTCCGCGCGCATGCTCCTCCACGAGCGGCGCAGCCTTCTCTGCCGCTGATAACTTTGCGGTATCTTGTACTGCTTTCTTGAGGAGGGATTCTTTCGAAGGTGGTGATGCTCATTGTGATTGTTATGGTTGCGATGACGGCGCTCGTGCTGATGGGCAGTGGGAGGCGGAAGGACACTTCGCTGTGTTCGGTATATGGCGAGAATTTGTTCTGCAAAGCGCGTTAACGCCGGGTGGGCAGGAGTTAGCTACCCAGGTACTTGTGAGCGTCGAAACGAAAAGACAGACGTCAACTAACCTTACGTGGTCCTAGTTCACGACGAGATTGGTCCTGTTTGTGAACGCACCCACTCCCGCCATGACGATCTTCAAGCACGAGTTCGCTCAGGTCAAGCTTGATTTCAATCTTCTGTCCTCGAAATCGGAAGCACTGCTCGTGATACTGCCAAGGCTGCCCGAACCGTCTGAACAAGCCCTGCGTGCGCGATGACATGGGCGATAGTAGCGTAAAGGTTTGATGGGATTGTGCCATTCGGATGGGGAGAATGCTCCTCGCCAGTGGCGGCAAGGAGACCAGGCTGGGTGTGGATGTAAAGGCGTAGAATAAATGAATGAGATATGTCGCGTATGACAAAGTGCCTGCACACCAGGTGTTTGTTTGGCTGGTGTTTGGCAAATGTGGGCGTGGGACAGCAACCGCCAGCTGCTGCAATTTGAACTTTACGCCCTTTACGCCGCTTGCCACAGAATGACAGCCACACCTGCTGTTTTTATGAAAGGTTCGTTTATATAATATCCGCCATTGCTGCCTTAAGCTCATGCAATGGTTTAGTTGAGTCCTCCGCGGCCGAGGTCTTCATCAGCAATCCCAGCACGAATACATCGTCACTAAACGGAACAGATATTCTAAGGCAAAAGGGGATGAGTGTCATACTCGAAGCCACATCAGCCTCAAAGATACGCCGCCCAGGTCCTGAGGCCTGGAAGGACTGGGGATACTTGACACAACTGGGCGAGACTTTTCGTGTTGTATACGTGCGCCTGTTTGGTCAAACTCCTCCCCTTTCCCGAGGAAATCCTGGCGACATCTGGGTCGACACCCGTGATCGTAAGATTTATTATTCCGACCATCTCCAGGTCTGGCAACCTTGGAGAGGAAACGAAGATAAGGTCTTTCACCCCATCGTCATTGGATATGAGCTACTCTGGGACGCCCTGAAGAAAACGATATCCTGGGCTTCTGCGACCACAGCTAAAAGACGAAAAGTACAGAAGAATAATACCTCCACCCTCCCGTCCTTAGACATTTGGAATCACTTGTCCGCAATCGATGAAGCAGGACCTAAGCGTCCTCGTCATATTGACATCGCCCCGCCAAGCATCCCTGAGCAAATACTCGCAATCCTTGACTCCGAAAATCTCCTTTCTTTTACTGGCGAATCACCCTCGGATTCAGCTTACAGTCATGTTCACCACGATCCCTCAATCAAGTTGCTTCCAACTGCAATCCCAACCTACACCGGGATATGGAAGCAAGATTCAATCGTCCGTGCCAAAGGAACTCAATTTCCGGAGGATGCGTCAATCGTAACATGGTTCAATGGCTTGCAAACGCCCCTCCCTTTTGTAGGTCAGAAGATTGGAATCCCAGAAACTAAAGTGAACCCTCATGCATTTCGACGCGAACACACGCTTATGAAATCTTAGGACGAGGACATCATAGGAGTGCGCTTCATGCTGGAACACGGGAAGGATGCAACCATGACTCCCCTTGGGGAACGAGAGCCTCCTGTCTTGGTTCTGGATGCTTCCGAGATCAATAGGCACGATCGTCTCGCTGCCCGGGCCTTTTGCGATCGAATTCGCCGGTCTCTAGCCGCCGGACGGCCCGTCCTAGTTAATGACTTCGAGGCCCTTGGCGCGGATCAGATTTTTGATTGGAGTGTTGACGAGTGGAAGGAAGATTTGACTAGCCCTGAGCGGCCGGTCATCTGGCAAGGTTCGTTCTTTCATTCCATGTCTCTCAGTGACGGAGCTGATGAATAATACAGATGCGGAGCTTCGTGCGCGTGGTAAAGTCCTTCTTCAAAGCGAAGACGACGACCAGGATGACGGACGCCCAGAAACCAGTCTATCCCAGGATCCGTATTGGATCCGCGGGCCTGGGAAGCGCCGGTCCAAACCGAAGCCTACCTGCGAACTCGGAACCTCGCAGGGATCCACAATCCATCGTATTGGGAAACTGAAGGACTTTGTCGCGTCGCTGGAGTCACCCACGACATGTGGCAACCTTTTGGACTGCGTTAGCTTTAATGATGAGATCCCTTTCTTCGTCAGGTGAGCATCCGACTGTATGCCTTGTCAGCCCCCTCATTACCTGCTTTAGGCGAATACGCGACCATATGCAGTCACTTGAGGCTACAGAGAAAAGGAACTACGCTAACTCCAAATCCTCGGGGAGAGCCACCGGAAAGGCTAGCCTACCCAAAGCAGAAGCTGCCAGCCCAGGCGACATTTCCTGGGACATGCTCGCTCTCAACGAGTGGAAGCTCGTCACGTCGGCCGGTTTCCTCACTCATCCTCATCACGACGCAGGCGGACTATCGACCTGGGTAACGATGAAGTCAGGCATGAAAATCTGGGGGATATTAAGGCCGAAAGTCTTCACAGAGGAAGGCATCGATTTTGAAACCGGTACAAGGCGCTTCCTTTCAGCCACCGAAGCAATCCTCAACGCAGAGTCGATCAAAGATCACGCAGATCTGTTCATTCTGATGCTGACTCCCGGGGCTGTTCTGTGCGTGCTAATTTGTACTCTTTTGCGCTGGCTGCACTCTTATCACCCTCCCAGCCTCCAGCCTCCCGGATTTCTTCATCTCGTTTACTCACCAATCCGCAGTATCGCTCTTGGGGGTCATTTTTTGACCCATGACTCGCTTCACCTCACTGCTTGGAGCCGTCGCATCGAGCATTCCATCGGAACTTTCTCGACAAACGCCGAGCATCCATGTGTTGAGCGTTACCTTGCTCGCATGATGCTCTGCCTGGAGTTCGAGGCAGGCCAATCGCGTTGGTTCTCTATTCTGTTGTGTCGATTTTCAACTAATACGCCCGTAGGTCCTTGTAAACCACTGCTAGCGCTGGCGTTGATGATCCTGGACTACCAGTCCTTCACGCACGAGTCAATTCTGGCGCCTCAACGTACCCATGAGTGGAAGAACGAGTTGGCTGCCGCCACGCTCTTCGCCAAAACACTATGCATCAGAGCTTTAAAGCTAAAGCAGAGCACCACTCTTCCGGCCCTCTGTAAAGCGGTGCGAAACGCGTTGAAGAGCACGCTGTGGTGGACTGAGGACTCTCAAGTGCTCACGGTGCCGCAGTTGAAACAGAATGTTGATTTGCCGACTGCCATTCCCTACCATCCCGAGTAGACTTAATCCCCTGCTCGAATAGATGCTCTACTTCACAATGAAAGTCCTGGTCAAGAGGAGTTCCGCTCCAAATTCGGCTACACTTATTATCATTCTGCAAAATTGTATAAAAAGACGGTGTACTGCCGTGTACTAGCCAAGCAATCCACCTCAAAGGTTCAGATGACTGATATTTCCATATGAGGGTACAGTCCCAGTCACCAGAATTAATGAAGTGTCAAACTCCGGGGTGGTTTCGCACACGCGGGCTAGGGTAGGGCACGGGTTACGGCGGTACACGGGTGGTGCGGGTGCCAGGTGGGGTGACACCACATGTTACCGCCACCCGTACCGGTACCGCGGTGTTCACGGCTTCTGCCATCCAAAGGGGTCTGTAGCCATACTCACAGTTTCTCAGTAAAATACATGCAAATCAAGGCTTCAATGACCATTATTCAACTACTCAAGCATACAATTCAAGCAGTAATTTATGGATGTATTATATTGTACGGTGAGGCAGGCATTGAGGGCGAAGGCGCTGGGGTGCTGCGTGAAGCGAAAATGCCGTACGCTCACATCGAGCGACACAGAGGTGGTGCAGCAGGGGAGCCGTACGCACGCATCTAGCAGCGCAGCGGTAGCGAGGTGGTTGTCGTCGTATTCCAAGTACCGTACGCACGCATTCAACGGCGCAGAGGGCAAGGGCTGGTGATGGTGGATGGTAGTGATGCCCCGGAAAAGCCGTGTGCACGCGTTGAGCGGCGCAGCGGGCTGAGGAGGGTTGCCGAGGCGGTGGCGAGGTCGTCGTCGTCGTCGTCGTCGTTCCAAATACCGTACGCACGCGTGCAACGGCGCAGAGGGCAAGGGCTGGTGATGGTGGATGGTGGTGATGGCACGAAAAAGCCTTACACACGCGTTGGGCGGCACAGAGGGCAGTGGACGGTGGTGGACGCGGACGGATGGGTGGTGGACGTGGTAGTGTTGGCACAAAAAGGCCGTGCGCACGCGTCAAGTGGCGCAGAGGGCAGCGGCGGTGGTGGTGGGTGTGCGAGAGGTTGTGTGCATGCACGAGGAGACGCGGTGCGGAATGGCACCAAGACCTAAGGCAATATCAGTATAAAAACAAAAAAGAAAGGTATGTCGCGCACCTGGTACCCGTAGAGTGATCTCAACGTATCCTGGCACCTTATTTCCGAGCATGGGGAGACGCGGTACAGAATGGCACCAAGATCTAAGGCAATGTCAGTGTAAAAAGAAAAAAAGAAAGGTATGTCCCGCACCTGGTACCCGTAGAGTGATCTTATTAATAACGTATCCTTGTTTTCGAGTGCGCTAGCCGTGATAGAATAGTCTCAACGCGCATCTCAGCTGTTGACTCGACCGTTCCCACGATCACTCACTGGCCCCTATCATTGAGGCAACAATATTAATCTAATGTACTCGAAACAAGACTAATACTGGAGTCTGTTATTAGATATTGCATATACAGAGTCTATATAACATATTAAATCCTTCTATGAGTTGGTTTTACCTTAGAAAACAGAGCCCGGACCTCCAGGCTAACGTTCTGTTGGGCGGAGTTCCTAGTTGGTCTTGTTTGGTTCCAAAGCTGCTGCGCTGACTTCAACGTTTCAACGTTTTTTTTTTCAACGCCGACCCCCGCCCTTGCGCCAAGCGAGCTGCCAAGCGACACTAGCATCGTTGATGCCCCTGAACCCCCCTATGTCTACAGTTGCTTCTCATTCAACGTCTAAAGGCTGGTTGCATGTACTGATCCAACCAATAACAGATAAGACATCGTTGGTTGCCATGTAGCCAGGGCTAAGCTCGTCAATTTTGTGACGCGTTCTTCATTTATCAAGGTTCGTCGGTCGCTTACTTGTTTGTGCTGCACTAAATGGATTTGGTATTCTTGTAGGCAAGCTCGTCGACGTTGCTGGCGCGTTCCGGATGTCGAACAACGTCCTATCTGCCGGCGTCCTAGTGTGGCGCAGTTCACGACCACGCGCACATTTGCAACAGCAATGTGTTCTTCACTTATGGAGGTTCGTCTATCGCATAATCTATTCAACGTTCCGCTAAAGGGATTTGAAATATATTTTAGACACCATTAAACCTGTACCAGGTCAACATAGAACCCAGCTGACTGTCTGTTATAGGCGCGTCCAAGGAACCCCTCAGGGGCTACCAGGGGGCGCGCCCACGTGCGTTTCCCGACTATGGGCTCGGGCCGCGCTTATACGCGGCCACGCGGACTTCCCGGATTACGGACTAAGTACATACTCGAGCACATTGTAGTTACTACGACCGAACTCATTACTGTTTCGTGAACGCGCGGACGCCGCGTGTTCCTTAGTATATAGTCCTGTATCGTACATACAGCTACCTTAGTTCGAATATTAGTTCTTTCTCCGCACTCGCATCTCACTCCTCTAGTGGGTTCTCCCCCCGTCGCACCCCTTCGCCTCCGCCCGTACCCTCGGTACCCGCGTAGGACTCCCCCCCCGGAAATACAGGGCACGCAAGAGTGTGGGAGGCGCAGCCAGTAGCTGAAGCCAAGCCCGTACGTCCTCGTTTCCCCCGTTCCCCCACGCGTCTACGTGGAACCGCGCACCCGCGGGTCCGCGTATCCCGAGCCCCCCCCCTGCGAGTGTGGCTCTTAACAGTATATTCGAACTCACAACCCAGCTCTTGCTCTCGTCCCCGCAAGTCCTTGTCAACATCATGGCTGGTGGCACTCAAGCGGGCCCATCGCGGCCTACTCGCGTGAGCCAACAAGCCGCCGCCACCCTCGTCTCTCCGCTACACACCACGGCCCACGCGCGCAGCCACGCCAACAAAGGAAAAGCTCCTGCGGTTCCGCGTCTGCGTGCGACGTCTTCACCGTCGTTTCCTCCGTTCCGCTCCCCTACGGTCGCCGCGGGAGTTGCCCCGCAACCCGCGCCCCCTCCAGAGACACCCAAGTCCGAACCCATCCAGTCCTTTCCCCCGTTCAACGTCCTGTCCCCGATCCATTCCCGCTCGATCCCTTCGAATGAAGAGCGCGCTCCCTCGCTTCCGGCGAGCAACCGTGGGTCAGAACAGGCGGACGAGGAGAAGCAACCCTCGTTCCACGGTTCTGGACCGCGGCACCCCTGGGATTCCGACAACGGCTCCGAAGACCACTTCCGCCCTGCGGACCACGCGTTCCTTCACGCGCTATCCGCGCTCAGCAGAGAAATCAAGGACATCCATAATCGTGAGTCATCCGCTACCCCTGCCGCTCCTTCCGCCTCTCGTCCCAAACCCCGCACCCCCGACCCTTACGACGGGTCCGACCCGTTGAAACTCAACACATTCCTCGTACAACTCAAGCTCTACTTCAACGCCACCCCCGCACTCGCCTCCGACGAGGATAAAGTGACGTTCGCCTGCTCGTACCTCAAGGGAAACGCGTTCGCCTACTTTCAGCCCGAGCTGATCGATGACGCCGCGGACCCCGAATGGCTCCATAGCTACTCGACCTTCGTTCAAGTTCTCCAAGAGAATTTTGGTGCGTTTGACGCTACCGCGGAGGCTGAAGCGGCATTGGACCAACTCAAGATGGGGGACAGGCAACGCATAAGTAAGTACAATGTGTTGTTCCAGCAGCACTCTGCGTTGGTGTCCTGGGGCCCCGCGGCTCTCCAACACCGTTACTACCAGGGTCTCCCGGACAGAATCAAGGACGCTCTTCTGAACCACTCGAAGCCGGGCTCGCTCGCACGGCTCCGCTCCCTCGCGCAGGCCATTGACCAGCGTCACTGGGAACGGGAGGCCGAGCGTACGCGCAACACCCGCGCCTCCGAGAAATCCGCGCCTGCGAAATCCTCTTCCGCGTCCACCCCGTCATCTAAGTCCCCCGCTCCTTCGTCCTCGAAATCTTCGTCCTCGGCTCCCCGCGCAACCGCAACTTCCAAAGACTCCACTCACCTCGGCGCCAACGGCAAACTCACTCCTGAGGAACGTCAACGACGTTTCGACAACGAGCTCTGTTTGTTCTGCGGCGGCGCGGGGCACAAGGCGAACAAATGCCTGAAGAGCCAGAAGAAGGCCAAGGCCCGCGCCGCGGTCGCTGAACCCGCGGAAGACGCAGAGTCCACCGCGCACGTCTCTGACGCCGAATCGAAAAACTGACTGGCGCCTCCGAGTCTCCGGCTCGTGTAGGTCGCCCCCCTGTTCTATGGCCGGCAGTTTGTAGATTAAACGGTTCCGCGCTCTCCTCGCCTTCCGCGTTACATTTACTACTTACTTCTAATTCGCTCTCGGACTCCCTCGCTCGTTTTCGTGCTCTCGTTGATTCTGGTTCGACCCATTGTTTCGTAGATACTATGTTCTCTCGTTCACATGGACTCATTACTTACCCTATAACTCCTATTAAACTACTGCTTTTCGATGGTACCTCTAACAACTTCATTACCGAAGCCATAGATATCCATCTCCGGTTCCCGTCTGGCGACAATATGACTGTCACTTGTCTTGTGACCCCTCTGGATCCGTCCTGTTCTGTGGTTCTTGGATACGACTGGCTCTCCCGCTACAATCCGTTGATTGACTGGGCTCAGAGCAGCATCATTTTCCGTTCCCCAATTCTCGACACTCCTAGTATAAGGCCTTGCGCGCCGCCCGCGGTGCGCGCTACCTCTTGCGTTGAAGCATCTCCTTCGACACCCTCGACTCCGACCTCGGCCCCGACTTCGTCCTCTCCGCCTAACATCTCACTGGTCAACGCAGCCGCGTTCCGCGCTGCGTCCCGACTTGCGGGATCGACGGTTTTTCAGATTATGATACGACCCGAGACCACCTCCGCCAGAGCCGCTAGCATAACCGACCCCGACCTATCCACGGTCCCCAAAGAATACCATGAATTCTCGGACGTGTTTAGTAAAGGCAAGGCCGACACACTAGCTGAACACCGACCTTATGACCTCAAGATTGAACTCGAAGACGGTGCCGCGCCTCCGGTCGGCGCCATGTACTCGCTTTCGCAATCAGAGCAGCAG